GAGCAACAGTTAATTATACTAGGTATGCAAAGATGAACACGGAACCATGGTATTCACTCCCAGGTGTCATTCAACAGCCACATGAATCATACTACCTCCATCGGTCTCCCCGTTCAGGGAAGAACCTCCTCGAGATCCAACTTCCTCGAGCTTGGCCCGACGTACACCTTCTTCGCGTACTCAGTAATCACCCAATCCTGCTTCACCGTATCCCATGAACTCACATCCCTCCTCGTCAGCACCGCCTTGAACTGCACCTTCTCCCCAGGCTCGACCCTAAGTCTGTCAAACCCTCTCAGCACCACCTTGGGATCCTCTGGCCCTCCGAGGCTCACGTACAGCTGCGGTACTTCATCACCCGCCACCTTGCCCGTGTTGGTGATATCCGCCGTAACAGTATACATGATGTCGTAAAGAGCAGGGTTTCCACCGGGGTGATGAAGGCCGGATGAGCGAAGCAAAGGCTGCGCCGATCCATCGTTGGCCTTGGGCGGCAAGAACTCATCGGCAGTCTGGCCGTACTGCGCATCGCCGCTGGAAGCAGACATGTCGGTGCTGTTGAGGTAGGGGTAGATAAACTGGTAGACGTAGGGGAACTCTGCGGCAGGGAATACGTAGTCTTCCACGCTTTCAGAAAAGTTACCAAAAGTGGGCGCAGCTTCCGTCTGCCCTGTGGTGGGAGTGTACTCGCCGACTTGGTGCTTCTCGATCTTCAAGTTGCTGTACTCAAAGGTGGTATAGCTCAATCCGAAGCCAAACTCGTAAAGGACCGAGGCGTTGGCCTTGTCAAAGTGACGGTAATCGATAAAGACTCCTTCGGTGTAGTCCAGCTGAGGAGCTTCGTTCCCGTTGTTCGGCTCATAGAGAACATCGGTGCCGTAGCTTTCGCGCGTGGCGCCCCAGGTGAAGGGAGTGCGCCCAGATGGGTTGACTCTACCGTACAAGACGTCCGTGATGGAGTTGCCGCTCTCCTGACCGGGCATACCGGCCCAGAGAATGGCGGTAATATTGGGGTTGTCGTACCATTCCGTCAGCAAAACGGGACCAGGTGTGTGGAGGACGACAATGGTGTTGTTACACCAGCTGGAAACATTCTTGACCAGAGCATCGCCCTCATTCCAAAGGGTGAGGTTCAGCCGATCACCTTTATTGCCATCAATCTCGATGAAGCCTTCACCAGAGTTGGCGTTGACAAAGACAATGGCAGTGGCGTCCTGCTGGGAAACCAGGGCCTTGATTTCCGTGGGCGCATGGTTCCTCAAGACACTCTCGTAGCGAGATCCATCCTGAACAGCGCGGGCTTGCAGGGCTTGGTCGGGCGTCACAAGATAAGGGAAGTTACCGGTGCCGGAACCCCAGCCAATACCCAAGGTACCATTGTTACATCTATTGTCGGCGCATCCGTTCGGCCCAAGAGGGTTCGGTCCAGCATCCTCACCAATGACAGCCAGAAACTTGGGCTTTTTCAGGGGAAGGGAGCCGGCGTTTTTCAACAGAACTGTTCCGCGAGCTGCAATCTCCCTGATAAGGCTTCCGTGATCGCCCTGAACGTTAACATGCCAGTTGATCTGCTGATAATCTTTGCGAGCGGCCCAGTGCAGCGGGCCGTACGTGTCGAGGGTCCAGAAGGAGAAGTTAATGGGCTCTTGGTCCTCGACGGTTTGGCCAACCTTGAAGAAAGCAGCCATGATGCGCATGGCCATGTCGTCAATGCGCCACTGCGGGACAGTTCCATTGAGGACGGCGAGTGTGAGGTTGGTTCCCCAGTAGCCGCGGCCGCTGTTAAACAGGGTATCACCGGGCATGCTCATGTCGAGACCGGCAGCAGCGCTCGCGACACCAGAGTGATGGGCTTGCCAATCGCTCATCACAAAGCCCTGGAATCCGTTTTCTTGCTTGAGCAGGTTGTTGAGGAGCTTCGAGTTCTGGCAGCTGTACGAGTTGTTGGCCTGAGTGTAGGCGCACATGAAGGAGCCTACACCAGCTCTGATGGCATCAACAAACGGCCACAAATACATTTCGTGCATGGTCTTGTCGTCAATGTTGGAGGATAGCGTTTCGGAGATGTTGTATCCGTAGTCCTGTGACTCTCCAACCTGTCTGAAGTGTTCTTGCTCGTTGCCGATAAAGTGCTTGGCGCAAGCGACGACACCAGCGTCCTGTGTTCCCTTGATGGTCTCCGCCATGGCGATACCGGTGAGAACAGGGTCGGTCGAGAAGCCTTCCCAGTTGCGGCCGCCTTCGGGTGCACGGCCGAGGGGACCGGCAACAGGTCCGAGGAGAACCGTGACTCCCTTGCCCTTGGCTTCCTGGCCTAAAGCATATCCGCGTTTATACATGAGACCTCGATCAAACGTAGCGGCGGTTGTGACCCCGGCGGGGAAGACTGAGTTGTAGTCGGTGCCACGGATGGCCAAGGGGGCATCTTGCATACACATGCTCTTCAAGCCAAGTCGAGGGATGGCACCGGTTTGGCCAACGCATTGTTCAGCGCCCCAGCTGTGTTACGTCCTATCCGTTAGCTTTGTTTGACGGTGCATATGGTATTGGATGCGCTTCGTGGGCCACGTACCCGATGCCGGTTGTTAGATTGACTTTTTCGAGCAGGGTCAACTGGGATACAAAGGCCTTTGCCTTTTCGTAGGCTTCTTCCCAGCCGATAGCCTTGGGGTCCATCCATGGTGATGGATAATGGGGTTCTGAGTAGGCAAGCGGCCTCTTATTGAGCTGTGTTGACGGGTCTATGTCAGCAAAGGGAAGCGAAACCGCCAGGACTGTTTGTATGGACAGCCATGGGAGGGCGTATCTGAAATGCATGTCTGGCAGGGACGGTTGGGCCGATCCCACGAAGGGCGAGTTGAAGGGTCAATCTGGATAAAATCGAACGTGCAGGTGTTTGGTAGCACAACTATAGAATGCAGTGATACTGATAATCCAGCAAGCTGGGAACGGGATCGAGGAAGATCTGGACAAAGGAAGCGGAAAGAATGGGACGGTTAGGGCCGACGGATGATTTATGTCGAAGCTTACCTGTTGGTGAGAAGGATGGATCGGCTCGGGCGCAGCCAGGGCGAGATTGCCGCTCGCCAGCAAGGCAAGCGGAATGGCGAACTTCATGGCGAGATGTTCAGGCGTGGACTTTGACCCCTTATTCTCACCAGACACAGCACAGAAAAAGGTCCTTTGTGTGATGGAACAGTCCGAACACGGCCGATGAAGATGGCACCGAGTCGCACGGGGAAGAGCACCGATATATACAAACAGATCGACACCCTTGACCCCTGGCAGTTCCCGTTTATTCTGTTGTCCCTCTTTGCGCTACACTACATGCTGCCGTGGATGGTCGGATGGGGTCTCAGACAAGACGTCGAATTTGAACACAGGACCTGGATCAACAAGGGGTAGACGGTCTCCCCTGGTCCATGTTCTTGACCGTCGTCACTGGTTCGAAGGCTGAGGTCGCCATGTTAGAGTGGGCTTGGGCCGATGATCTTGTCTTGAAGCCATCCTTGCAGGGAAGAGAGAAGGTCGCGAGAAACTTGATCCGGTTAACGCGATCGTCGGCATTTAGCGATTGAGCGGTGGGCGAAAGACAAAAATGTCCGATGCCAAGGGGAGCAGATGTTGGGAAAAGGGCCGATCGGGCTTGCGATATGGGTCAGGAGGTTGAAAAAAAAAAAAAAAACGAAAGAATACCCGGACGAAAGCACTCTTCCGGTCAGGCATCGAGTCGAGGAGCCGGAAGCGCGCAATGGTGGATGGGGGGTTGAACAAAGAATTGGCGGACCACGGCAGAAAATGGCATGCCCCGAGACTTGGGGTTGAGGTCATCGAATGCAATGCGACGGCTTTCAATTGGATGGGCTGCAGATGCCTGGTACCTACATAGTCTGGTGCGGGGATGTGGGGATTTGTGGAGAATGGGATCGACTCCGCTACGGGTTCCCGTCCCGTCATTCCGTCAACCGGGCAAGAACTACTCGAGTGAGAGCACTCGGTCCCGTGATCCTTCAAGGTTATGTTGCGATTAAATCCACAATTCATGTGGTGATCAACAGCTCATGCTACTATCATGAACAGCTCATGTCATGAAACTACCTAGGTACAAAGTCCATGAACAGATATTCGGCATCGGATGAGACGGTCAAATCTTGAAGACCCAAAAGTAAGCTCTCCATGGGGCCTCGGTTGAGCTCCCTCCATTTGCCGTGGTGGGGCACAAACCAGTGGCTCGTGTAATCCTAGAGGTAAGTACATATTCATGGATCACCTTGACGGTTGAGTCGGGAAGGCTAGTGTGAGGTAGGCAAAACCTCGGAATCTTCCTCCATACATTTGCCTGCGGTTCCTTGATGTCTTTCTTCCGGGCACCTCGGTTCCTGTTCACCAGAAAAGCAAGCCATTGACCGGTGTGCCCTTTGCATATTACGGGGGACAAAAATGCTGAATGACTGAGGGGACTTGTAATCCATCGTTTTCCCACCTGCGAAGGGGACTGGAGATGAGATGTACACGACGGCAAAAGGTAACCTATGGGATACTTTGTGCCACCCACCTCCCAAGAAAGCTCGGGGGTCCAAGAGGAGGCAGAGGCTGGGGAGAGATGTCATTCCTTGTCTTCTTAACTTGCTCTTTCTTGATTGCATTGGCCATTCGTTACTGCAGCTTCTGACCTCGCTAAAACGGAAGGTCCTTGAAAAATAGCAAACAATAGTGCCGGTTTTCTTCTTGACCGTTGCCAATAATGACATCGTCGTCTCCTCACAACGAACTTGACCCCGAAAGCAAGCGCCAAGTTACCCCACACGAAACTACTAGGCCCAATGGGACTTCAAGTTGGCATCCTCGATTTTGATGTTGCATTACCGTCGGTCCTCGTCAAATATTTTCTTCCCATCACACGGAGCCTCCAACAGCTCCTTACCACCTTTCCAGTGCCTTGAATTGGTACATATTGGCTCAGGTCTGGTTGCATGCATCGGATGCAACATTCCCTCGGTCTAGGGGTGCCGATGATATGACACCTGGCCAGTGTCCGGGTCACGACAACCGACGACTGCCGTGACACCTTGGCGATGTTCTCTCGCAGCTTCACGCTGACCGTGTTCGTTTGATCCTGAGTTCTGAGTGCGTTCGAGCAAACTTTGAAAATAACAGTCGTAGCCGTTCCGTTTCAAGCCTGCCCAAGTGTAAAAGAGTACGGGCGATTGAAAAAAGAGCCAATCGCCAAAGTCATAATAGCATTGCAAGGGAACTTACCAACACAAACACAAAGCAACGCAGAGCCAGAGCTGGAGTTGACAGTGGAGTCACATGGTAAAATAGCAAAAAGAGAAATTACATGACCCCAACCCGATTTGAACGGATAACCTTTCGATCTGGAGTCGAACGCGCTACCGTTGCGCCATGAGGCCTTTGTTGAATGAATTGTTTTTGTTAACAGCCTACATAGGGATATTGCAACCCGTCGTTGAAGAGAGATGGATTGGTGTACTCGCTGAAGGTTGACATGTCCATAAGGAACACGTATGGAATTAGGCTGTTAAAAACGTATTGTGCGACAGTTTGCAAGCTGGTAAACACTTTTCAGATGTTGTTAGTCGTCATTGTCTGCAACATGGACCGATGTCCTAGGTAAGTCAAGCCGAACTGAAACCTACCTATTGAAGCGTTTGTTCAAAACTCTTTGTGAGTCAATCGGGCCTGTCGACAATCATACCCAAGCGCAAGCCTACCTGAATCCCCTTCGTGCTTCATCATATCAGCACCTCGAGTCACCAGAGAGTACTCATTCTCGGAAACCTGGACAATTGGTCAACAAGGAAGCTGCTAGCTCAAATGATTTTCATATGTAAAAGCCAGGCAGAACCAACAGCATTCTTGTCCTCCGCGTCTCAAGAGACAAAACTACCTCTAGGTAAGAAGGGAGAGAGGAAAAGTGTTATTTGAGAGGAAAGGTGATGGGAAAGATGGAAGTAAAGGCAATAAGAGTATATTTGTAGTCAAAGGGGTTTAATAGAGGGGCGATGAGAAATACCTCGTTAATGGGGCCGGAAAGTTGTTGGTTTCATCACATTGGGAACACCAAATAACATTACCTAGGTACCTACCTACCTCTACCTATAAGGTTGAAGCTGGTCAGTTACTAATCCGAAACTTCAGGTGCTTCATATAGGTATATGCCTGTAAAAGGACTGGACACGATAGAGGGATAAAGCTTGAACAGATCTGAGCAGGAGTACATTTATTACCTCCATCATCGAATAAGTCACCCATTAGCGGAAAGAGGAGGCTGAATTCGGCATCCAGCAATGTAACTCGTATGGCTTCATCCAATCAAGTCCAGGGCAGGTATATATCTGAAGCGAACTTGACTCGACGTTGCGGCTGTCAACAGAGGAGACAGCCGCCAATTTGGCTTCTTGAAGATAGAGGTACCTCTAGCACCCAGTGAATGGTTCTTCGCCCAATGTCCGTGCAGGTTTCTACAGCCGGCCGAGACAGGATGCTTTCCGCTTGCTTTATGCCTGTTCACCCGGAAGATGCACATGCGTACAGGTCAGTAGCGTCTAGCAGCTGTAATGGAAGTCTGGAGACAACGAAGGTTACCTCTACCTACTTGTGCCTGGCCCTTGGGCTCGCGCTTTTTCACCTCACACAACTACCTTAGTACTCGCCATCCCGTGCGCCGATTGCACATATACGACTAGAGGCCGTTTTCACGATTCAGTCCACTACTACGACAAACAATGTTGCCCTCAAACCTCATCGGTATCTACGCTGAGTACAAGCGAGACACCAATGCCATTGCTTCATGGCTGGCCTCGAGCGCAAGAATATGCGGTTACCCTACCGAGAAACTTTCCCTCGGTTCCTGGAATTCGTCCCCATCTACAGAAGCAGCGAAGCCAACAGGACGCTTGAAGAGGAAAACACGAGAACAGGCCGAGCAAGCGACTAGCTTTAGCGCGACATCTATCACCCCGCCAAAGCCCTAGACACTAGCGGTTGCCGACTTTGTGCCGCTCGCTGAATTCATCGTGCGATCCAAGAGACCGGCTATCTCTGTGTCTCCGTCCGTGGTTTCCATCCTCAACCGTGCAATATCTGCGCGTTCGAACTTCGGGCAGCTTCTGGGAGAGCAGCAAGATACGATACTCGATCCACAAAGCGACGCTACACATCAACACTTTGTTGAAGTTTTGGAGAAAGTCAGAAAGATACTCCTATTGAAGATGCCACCCGCGATCCCTACCGCAGATGAGGTGAACGGAGCCCAACATCTATCAAATCAATTTGGCCTTCTTCGAATTCAGCAGCCATCTCTCAACGTCGTCGACGCCGAGCCCAGCATACCAAAGACCGAGAAAAAAGACAATCACCCTGCGGCCGTTCAAGAAGACAAGACCGAATACATAGCAGAGGAGCCTTCCTCTCGCTCCGATGCAGTCGCTGCCTACTGCATGCTATTCCAGGACATCACAATCATCCGCGGAGCTGTCATAGACATCTGGGCGGGCGTCCGCGACGGCACCACCGACTATGTCGCAGCATCCATCGCCACCGACACCGCTATCGGCATGATTCGAGACATTGCAGACACCATGACTAGCGTGATGAAGCCTCATGACGGGATCATATACATCATGCGGCTGTTTCACATTGTCAGATGCAGAACTCGCGGCATCGACATGGCAGCTGTCCGCTTCGAAGATCGTGAAAATTTCCTTCACGACACGTACGAGCTGGCTCTGCACAACTTGATGCTTCCAAGCATGACGTTGAGTACACTTATAGAGTCCTCCACCACGGACAGGGTGGGCTGTTGCCTCTCTCTACTCGAATACAGTGATGAGGACGCCATCTATGCGGTTGGGTGGGACAAAGATACAAGGTGGTTGAATTTTTGCGTCTCGGAGTGTACCGTGCTCGCGGAAGGTTGTGAAGATGACGAAAGGCTTTATCCTGTGAGGGACATGTTCGTTCAAGGAGTGCAGGAGACGATGAACACGAAAGTGGTACCGTTTTATGCAATCATCGCCGGCCAGCTCAACCTGGATATTCATCATGTCTTGGGGAAGAAGACAAAGGATGTTGCAAGGGAGGCTTTGAGGGAACTATCGGAAATAAGAAAGGATGTATCGAGTATTCTCGACTGCCACGGCGAGGACAGTTATCTCGAGCATCAACTGAAGCTCCTGAACTACGTTCTTTCCGATCCCGTCAAGCAAGTGAAGGATTGGTCCCTAGAACCCGGTTTGCCTGTGGCCAAGGCTCACCAGACCTTGGAGCTTTTTATGTTACCCGTCTTGACAGGCCAATTGGTTCACCACTACCGAGTAGCCATCTACCGGTTTGCAATCAGGATTGCGACCGTGATGGGGTCAATCCAATATGCGACACAGCTCTACCATGCCCTCCGCACAGAAAGCCTGGTCAAGGCAGAGTGGCCAGACCTGGACCATGCCCGAAGACTACTAGGCGAGTCAAGCTTCTACGTGGGAAGTCTTCCCAAGAACATTCCAGAGTACATGTTAAAGTTCTCTCTCCAAGCCGGCCTGTCTCCGGCAGCAAAGGCCCGACAAGGTCGAAGCAAGAAGAAGAGCAAGAGACAAGCTCGGGAAGCGGATAGGTCACAGTACACCACAGCAGGACCACGAATGATCGCTGACGGGGATGACCGCCTTCCTTTCTCCAAGAAGTTCATCAAGCTGCATGAGTCGAAATGGAAAAAGGAGTTGGAGGCGTGGTCGAGGGAGCTTTTGCGGGATATCATCGCGACGGTGAACGTCGAGCCCATTACCCTCAGCAAGAGTGAAGGCAATTCGAGGAGCTCAAAATAGCCAGGAGGAAGAGAGTGACTCCCGGCTTCGGTGCGTACTCTTGAAGCTCGCTGAAACCTTGCACGATGAATCGCGCAGTCTTCGCTTCCCATTGCTCAAAGTACACCAATCCTCATGGGAGTTATTGACAACCGCCCGCGATGAATGCGGTCCTATGCTGCGCGCATACTTTCGCGAGCCTGACTTTGAGGATGACGAGTTGACTTGGTTCATCACCGGATACATCTTCTCGGCAGCGTGTAGAGCGCACGACAAGAATCGCATTGGCCTACCCTTGAAACAGAGTCCAGACTTGAGGCCGCTGAAGATGGCGGGTGAGGTCTGTGAGAGACTCTTGACCACCAGGAGGGACTTTGGGAGACGGGCTCTACGGTGGATGCAAGGTAGTGGTAAACCTCCACAACAAGATGTTGAAGATGTAGTTGTTGGGCACGAAGCAATCGAGGACACTTGCCTCAACGGTACGGGCGTCGAGGATAAAGGGCCTAGGTAGTGTTATATGCCACGAGATCACAGGGTCCGAGCATCATCCCGACAAAACAGGAGTTGAAGTTCAGGATTTGTACAGGACGAGTGTTGGGCAGACGCAGATTGACACAGGTCAATCAGGGCACCGACCGCATGTTCGGTAGAGGTAGTCGGGGTGAGGCCCGTGAAAATGCCAGGTGATGCCATAGATGATGTTGTTGCGTTCGACGGATTCGACATGTTCCACTGTGTGAGACCATGGATGAAGAATCTTGTCCCTTGAAGAGGGAAACGCAGAGCCGGAAGAGTAGGTACCGAACAGTCGCGCATCGCGGTGTTACTGCTGATAGATTGCAGATAGCTGGCGGGATCGTTTACTCGCGAGCGTCAATGTGAGTAAGGTAAGCACCAGCTATCAGGCGTTACAGTGATGCCTATTGGCAAAATGGCGGGGCATTGGTCTCTGGCCTAGGCGACAGGAAGGATCTCGAAAGCCCCTACCGATCATCATCGAATGCTTGAAGCCGGGAAGAAATAGAACGAGAAAACCTAAAGTCAAATGGGGGATCGGCTGGAGATGCAGTGACTGCTGGCGGAGAGAACGTTGTTGGATTGACGCAACTTTGAAGTCGAAGCTCTGAGGAACCGAAGCTTGCGGCAGAATGACAGGCGGGTGCACCTGCTTGTCGGATCATCTTGTGCCACAAGTGGAAACTTCCTCGCCTTCTACTTAGGAATCTCTGCTTCGTGCTTTCCCTTCCCTACCGATAGTAACTACTTTCTGCTTCTATTTGAGATCTCAGTCATTCACCGGAACGAGGCGACGATTCAAAAAGAAAGACTCCATTCAGAAGAGCACTACGTAGCTCGGGCTGCTAAGGTTCAATACAGCGACAACCACAATGCTTGTACACGGGCCACATGGATGATCATCTGTCGTCCAGTGCCCGCGCACATGGGATTTCCGTTTGTTTGGCCAAGATTCCGAACGGTGTGTCTTTGGTACAACCCTCCATCTTCTGTTGGCCCTTACCCGTCCCTGTCCATCGTCCAACGTCGCATATCTTGTCTTACCCCGCACTCAACTCTCCCCCACGTTTTTCCCCGGATCGCAGGGTCCACGGATCAACATCTTGTCGCTTCGGTAGCTAACCTTGTGAGAGCAGAACAGTCTAGGTCCGTCAAGAGCATGGAAGCTGTACATCGATGTGGGGCCCATTATAACGCTTCCTTGTAAGTAGACTCGACAAGCCTTTTCGACCGGGAAGCGACCCATGACGGGCATCCGCATGTACCTCCACTCTCCGCGTTCGCGACAACACACCTCCGATCTCAGTCGGTTACTCTGCTGCACCGCTCGTTAGGTAGTCGCACCATACGGACGGCCCAGCCAAACAATACCTATGAACGACTAGTCACTACAAGATAGTCGGTTTCGTCCGCTGCGCTAGACCCTATGTCCTGCCACTTCCATAGCACCTACGTAACCGATGAGGGAAATCGGATCAATGACGATGTGCTTGGCCAACATGTTAGTCCCCAAACAGCCGCTCAGATGGTAAGCTTTTGCCCATGATCAAAGTAAGGCACTGCCCTACGTGGCTGGCTTCCTCGAGTGTGTTCGCTTGCGGCTATTGTACTAGCTTCTAGCCAGTCTTTAGCCATCCAGTCGTCTTCTCGAAAGTCTGCCTTGGTTTCTTCCGGCTACAATTTTGCCGCTGGAAATACTGGGCGGGGAAGAAGTCGATGATGAAAATGTTGTCAACGTCCCCAAAGATGTAGAGCTTGTCCATCTCCTCGGCCCTCTGTCCAAGAGCATTATGGCTCTTCTTCGATATCTCACAGCCCATTTGGCGGCAGGCTTAATTGTCACTGGAGCCGTATTGGCAAGTCCTTTCAGCAATGCTGTCTATGATGTACACATCGCCACCGGCTTCGTCTCAGAGTTTACGCAGAACATTACAGCCGTTCATTAAGAGCACCAGCAAATACACAGGCATGCTCTTGTCTGTAGCCAGTCTTCGTCCCTCACAGTTGATGTAGGCTACGCCAAGTACTAAGGCCAACAAAATCTCGCTACCGGCGTGAATGTTTGGAAAGGGTGAGAAGCGCCAGTTCTATATCGATATCTGAACCCGTGCTGCATGCGGTTTACTGACAGCGTATGGCTAGAATCCCGTATGCAACTGCTGTAAGATGGTAACCGCCGTGTTTTCTACCGCCGCGTCCTAATGCCCCTATTACGCAAGCGACGAAACAAAGTGCCCAGTGCCCGAATTCCAGCCCATCCGTGGGCGGTTCACCCCAGATGGAGGACGATGAGGACTGCCTTTTCCTCAATGTCTATGCCCCCGCCAAGGCGCAAAACCTGCCTGTCCTTGTTTGGATTCATGGTGGGGGCTACGGCTTGGGAAACAACGTTCAGGACATGACCGAGATTATCAACGCAAACAACCAAGGCTTCCTTGTCGTCTCCATCCAGTACCGTTTCGGCGCCTTTGGCTTCCTTGCTTCACAAGAAGTCAAGAATAAGGGTGTTGTCAATGCTGGTCTCCTCGACTAGGCTTTTGCTCTCGCGTGGGTCAAGCTGTTTATTTGCAAATTTGGCGGCAATCCACTAGCTGTCACTATCGCGGGCGAGTCCGCTGGCGCCGGCTCCGTTATGTACTACAACCTTGCCGTTAACGGAACTTTGGGTCTGCTTCTTTTCGACAAATCCATTGTCAACTCGCCCTACCTTCCATTCTAGTACAATTACAACGATGCTATCCCTACTTCTAGATACTATGCCTTCGTTTAAGCTGCCGGTTGTTCCAGCAGTGGGGACGTGTTCGCCTGTCTTTAGAGCAAAGATTCGGCCACACTACAACAAGCTAACTACGTTGTTACTAACCAAGCTCTTTATGGTTACTGGGCTTTCTACCCCGTCACCGACTACGCTTACATTATGAGTCTTGCCAGCCAACAGCTTGCCGATAAGCAAGTGAACGGTATGAAGCTTCTCGTTGGGTTCAATGCTAACGAAGGCCCTCTGTTTGTCCCTAACAATATCGATACCGAGTTATAACTTGCCGAATGGCTCAAGGTGGAGTTTCCCAAGTTGTCCGCGACCCAAATCAACTCCATCCTCACCGCGAACCCCAACAGTAACCCAACTAACCGCGCGGGCCCCTTCTTTGAAACGAACGGTCTTTCCGGCGCCAACGCGCTGAACATGTCTGGTGGTGCCAACGGCCAATAACAGCGCGGCTACAATATCTACGCCGAAGCCACCTTTGTCTGCCCAGCCTACTGGTTTGCCTCTGTATTTACCGGCTCTAGCGCTAAGAAGGCCTATATATACTAATACTCCGTCCCCTTTGCCCGGCACGGCACCGACATCGCCGGCTATTTTGGTCCGCAAACTGAGAACCAATCTAACGACTTCGTTCTTGCCTTCCGCCGTATCTGGGGTAACTTCATTATTATTGGCAATCCGTCCATTACTAGCCTGCTGGCTAACGGACGGTCAACGGGGAATACAAGCCCATATCCTGTTGCGGTTTGGCCGGCTTGGACCGAGAGTGCTCCAAAGTTGGTGAATCTGAACGAGACAGGTGGTTTGCAGTACTAGGTACCGACGCAATGGGGGTTTAATGTGACGTAGTGCAAGGAGCCCGGATTGAAGAATGCTATGGAAGTTGTAGATGCCGACTCTTGGGAGGGAGGGAGAGGGCAGAGGTGCACCTTCTGGAAGCAACTAGCTCCTAATATTCCGGCGTAGATGATTGCATGGTGATGGCGAGACGATGGTTTGGACGTATCTTTTACTAACTTCTTGCCCTAAAGTGTATGCCAGCTCAATACCATGCTCTCTGCTTGCTCTATCCTGCCCTGTGCGCTTTCATGCCCTGTCTATGCGCTGTAACCTAGTGTTCCCATCGTAAAGTCTTGCACCGTCGTTTGACACATCCGTAGGAGTTGCACAGCTGCTCCAAGGGAAGAATCCAGCCAAGCTCGCGGAGAGTAGGTCACCTGGATACCAATCACTTGCCTTCCTCCCAGCAAAAACAGAGCCATCAACATCTACGCATCTCAGCACTGTGGGGATGTCTCTCGACGGAACATAGGCGGCGAAGCAAGCGTTTGCGTTGATGACTTCTCGGTAGTCGTTAGGGTCACAAGGCGGTTATGCATGTGGTGATGGTCCATTGGGTGATGGGAAGGCGGGCACTGCTGTCGCCAGGCCGGCCAGAACAAGATGTCAATTTGGTGCAATGTACAACAATCTACCTACGATGATCAGAATGATGTTGCGTTGTAGACTATTATGCCGACCGGTTATATGTTCACTGAACATACCTCGTTACTGGGCTGGCAAGGTCCTCGACTAAGATCAACGCATGTTCATTTCCCCTTGCTGCTTTTCCGTCTTCATTTCCTGTTATAGACGTCTCCCGCATCATGGCATCATCGCACCTCCACTTATCTCTAGGCAACGAAGTTGCGCGTCAGGAAGCTCTGGATGTAATCCTTCTTGCCGAGCGGCACGCCCTTGCTTCTGAGAATCGCATACGCGGTCTGCACATGGAAGAAGAAGTTGGGGATGCTGTGTCCGAGGATAGTGCCCTTGCTAGTGCTCTTAAGGGTCTTGGGACCAAGGACCCTATTAGATATTCGCGTTAGTATGTTTTTTAGTTATAACGCCATAATATGCCTTCCGGCTGGTGGTACTCACAGGTTAGCCGGCTGTTTAGCAAAAGTATCAATGACTTTAGCATCCGCCTCCTCTACAAGCTTCTGCGCTTTCGCAATTCGCTCCCTCAACTCCGCTATCGTGGTCTCCTTATCTTCCCATTGCTGGAATACCTGTCCCTGAAGACGGCCGAGCGTGCGATTTACGTGTTTTGTAGCATTTTGGATCTGGAACGTGAATGGCTTCATGTCCTCGACGAGGCGGGCGTTGGGGTACTCGGCATCTGCGGAAAGGCCTTGGGAAGAGGCATATTGCTCGGCGACATCGATAATATGAGAGAGAGTGTCGAGGCCATTGGAGAAGGTTGAAAGGACAAGCTCCGAGAGTTGGGTGGACATAGTAGGTAGCCGAGCTTGGTAATAGTAAGGTGAGACGTTGTTGATGTTCACCTGTCGGATTCGGGATTAGTTGTGGAATTCGGAGGATAGAGTAGAGGTAAGGAGAATGAAGGTTTACTGAGGTAGAATGGAAATGGATGATGAGAGTAGGTACCTCATATCGTAAGGAACGTTGCATTTCAATTACGTCGAATGCGACGCTGACGTTCGAATTTACATTGGGACTTTGGAAGGCACGAATGCTTGAGCCACTAACACCGCGGATCGAACCCATCAGAAGGTGTCTCTACGACAACACCGCCATCCATTCGAGATATGCGTCTAGCGTGGTTCTGCGGGCCGCCCCGAGCGTCCAGAGCCACACGGGCTACCTCCAGTCCAAGACCTGCGTGTCATTGACCTTGAACGGCTATGCCGGTGCACCAAGGCCAGGCGACCAGCGGCACGAGCTGGGTCACTTGATTCACATTGCACGACTGTGGCCTGTCTGCAAGGCTTGGAAGTGACTGGCATGAACATTGCATAATGGCGAAAAGCAAAAAGGCACCATCTAAGCTTTCGACCCCCCCTCGTCTGCTGACTTGCCTGGAACACAGGTTGCACATGTGACTCCACGCTTTGCCATCTCCTCGTTATGTGCCAGCATTCTAGCTTTCTCCTCCTCCGTAAATATCTTCGGAACATTCTCCGCATCGGGGTGGAACATGTCCCAACGGGACACGTTGCGGCCGTCGGCGGTACGCAGTCTCGGGGGAAGCGGCAGCCCATCGTAGTATTCTCTAATCTGGGCTGGGTTAAGGCCAACCGCGTCGAGAACATTGCGTTCAGCGTCAAAAGTACGGAGCACACCATCGAGGCCCAACGCACTCAAGCCCTGTCCGTCGCTCTTCATCGATCTCCGGATATCGCTTAGAGACTTGTCGTCGCTTTCAGGCTGTTGGTCTGTAGCGACTTGGAGCGTAGTCACGGGGTTCTATAGTTGATTAACATGATGGTCAGCATAAGGTATATGTATTGACAATGAAGAGAGTTTGAGGAGCACTTGCTGCCGGTTTGTCCGCCATATTGCTAGCGAGTTGATACGTAATGACGGCGCGGCTTGATTGTTTCGACCAAGAATTATGTTTTCCAAATTCGTAGTAATGTGACGGGGCGGCTAAAGGGGAGTATACGAGCTTGTGAAGCATGTAGTGATAGTAGAAGTGGTTGGACTAGAAGTAGCTAGGTAGATGCCGGAGGTGCGGGCAGTGCAACATGCAGATGCGAGTAGTGGAAAGTTGGAGCGGCGAAAGATCGTGCTGATTATGATGATGATTCGAGTAGGGCGTGGCGGGAGACACGGGGACAGCACCAGCCGCAGCAATAACGACCTCGACTAGTAAGTGGTAAGGCGTGGAGGGGTTGACGGAGTGGGGCGAGACGAACGAGGGGGAAAGACCCGACACAGAAATGTGTAGAGGTAGTAGCACTAGTAGGTAGTGTGTTGGTTGGCAGCCCTCGGAACTGATCCCAATTGGACCGCGCTCACTACTACCAGTAAGCACTCGTTGTAACCTGTTGGCCTGTTGCCAATTCGCTCGGGGGTCGGTGCTGTGGGCTGAATCCTACATGTGTAGGGACAGAGATAACGTCCCTACAGCCGGATAGTGGTTCTTTGATAGAGGTAGGCAAGCTGGTGGCAGGCTCTTCACAGAGTTGATTAGCAGCTACCCTGACATATTGCCAGTTGTACCGGTGAAGCTCGTCATGAGTTCATCAACAGTCTATCAACTACCTACCTGTTATATTCTCTTGATGGTGTGTCACTGTTTGTTGTGTCCGTCTGCGCTAATAGTTTCCGAATAAACTGACCTCAGTTATGCCAAGTGCCAAGAGCTGAGCCTTTACCAGAGCAGTTACAACCCAGCCCTTGTAGGCAAGTTTTCTGGGCAGACCATTTTCCGGCGCCTTGTTCGAACTCTGCTACCCTACCACGCGAAATAAACAGTGCAATACCACAAACATCCGACAGGTACGACCCGGCAATGGACGGTAGTCGAATTATGTAGAATGCGACTGGCACTCGCTACCAGGGACCCTAGTCAAATGTGGTATGTTCGCTTAAGAGCGGATTAGACAGCACAGTCAGCCTGTGCCATTATGTCAGTTTGGGGGCCAGTTTTGCTTGCGATTGGTACCTAGATGTACGAGACCCAGCCACTCACCCAATGTCCAACGAAGCCGGACTATCGTATTCCTGAAGGAAGTCTTACCTACCTAGTTCAGTTCCTGCTCCAGCATCCTCCTTTCATCATGTTGACCCACGTTGTATGTCTTGACAGGGACTCATCATTCAGCAGCCAACAACGCCGGATTACCGCCGTGTACCGTGCAACTATGCCGCCCAACGACAAGGCATAGATGGCAAGGTCCGGACGGAATCATGATAAACTGGTCAGTATAAGTAGGTATATGTAGAGCAGCCTGCTCCTGCTCGCTGAACAACCAGAGAACAGAGCCATCAAGCCGATCAATCCTCAACGCTCGTACTCTTTTCTACACCCTGCCCAGGACAGCAATATTCTATTGCCCAACATGCAAGGCAACCTGTTCAAACTCTTCGCTATCGCTGCCGCGTTTTCGGCTGTGCACTCTGCCCCGGTAGAGACTGCCGATGTCACCAAGGCACATGTCAACGGAACGCAGGTCGACGGACCTCAAATCAACGGAACTCAGATCAGTGACAGTTTCAGGGTTGCTGGAGTACGTGCTTTGCCCCAGCGTTCGCAAAAGAACTTATACAATGCTTTCTATCGCTTCTCTGAAAGACTGACACTAACCCTCCATCTTCTCAGGTTGAGAAAACTTGCTATAAGAGGGACCTCCCTCATATTAGCGAAAGAGCGAAGGAGGGAGATATTTTCAAGCGGGCTTGCAAGGGCTATACCTGCTGGCACAAAGATCAGTGCATTGCTTGGGGATGTAAGGAGTGCAATCTGTTCTTTGACGGCTGCGGCAACTCATGGACTGCTTGCTGGTAGTGTAGAGGTATAGTTGAAGGATTCGTCACTATAGAGGAGAAGTATGGACATATTATAGCGGAAAAATACGTTTTAAAATATTCAATATATAAGCGGTACCGCCTCGGATTCTAATATTAATTTAACATCCAATGTTGAATGCCCTATAATATAGAAGGTAAGCGCTATAGAAAAAAACTCAGAAAAAAAACTAGAAAAAAGAGGGGGAAAGAAAAAACTTAGATTTTTATAAAAAGCAATAAACAGAGAAACATATATAGTAAACTGGGGTATTTCGTTCTTTCTTTTTTTTAATATTTTTTACTTCAAGTCTCTTACTCTAGTGTAGAAGCTTCAAGGGGCGAATAAGTGGAGGTATAAGAGTGATACGGGTAACCGGAGTGCTCTGCAAATAACAGTATAATAATATTTAAAAGCGTTGTAAAAGATGATATAGAAGGAAGAATTAGGAATCAACAGCTAACCTAGAGGGCAAACCTTATAAGGCTTCCTTATCTTATCGCAGACCTATCGGGCCTACGACTTGCCGGCCGGGTACGACCCGGTCGCGGCAACCTCCGTATATAACCGGCCGGGCGGGCTAGTTACGTGTGACTAGCTACCCTATAGCTTTATTTATTTAATTTATATATAATAATATAAATGTCTAGTATTAAGTCCCGGTTTACAAATAGAATATTAGTATCCTTACTAAATTCTTACTTCTTTATTTAATTACGAATAACGCGTTTAGTACAACGTCCTTGTTTATTACAACCTCCCTTCCGTACTTAATATTCCTTAATTAATTCCTTTATATTATATAATTCTTCCTTAATCTTCTAATAGTTATACTAATATCTATAGCCGAACTATTTAATACGATATTTATAGGTACCGTCGGATTTAAACTTATAGTCTAGGAGGATTTTAATTTCGTAATTAGCATTATTATTATTATCTAAATCTTAGGAATCTTCGATTAGTCCGGGCGGTAGGGCGGTTTGGTTGAAAGGGTCATCTCCTTTGAGTGTAGGCTTCAAGTGTATAATGGAAATAATTGGGTAAATCTTTATTTCCTTAGGGAGGTTTAGTTTATATACGAATTTGCCTACTTTATAAATAATTTTGAAGGGTCTTATATATTATTATAATAATTTGCGTAAGGGGCGGCCTAATAAGTAGTATCCTTTATAAAATTTAAGGAATATTTTATTACTAGTTTCTATTTCGAGTTGTCGGTAGTTAGTATTATAGCGATGTTTAATATTAGCGATAGTAAAATCTATAATAAAGCGAACGTTTTTTTAAATATATTTGTAAAGAACCTTATAGTTTTATTATTACGGGCAAAGGGTAGGTAGTAAATGTAATTATACGTAATTACACGAAAGAAAAGGAGGAGAAGTGCAGCCGAATGCCCGGAAGGCTAGCCTTATAAGGACGGCTGCCGGCGGGTCTACAAACTTATAATAAATAATACTCTAACCAATCAACTACCAACAATAGCCAATAGTAATAATAGTAATAATAGTCTTAAAAGCTACTATACGTTAATACTAAATACAAGGCATACAAACTAACCCTATAACACTTCCCCGGACTAAAAGAAACTATATAATTAACTAATATTATATAGAATAATAAAAATCCCTATTAAACGAATAGTTTTAATTTAAAAAACTTTTATAGCTATTACGGCACTATATAATATCCCTCTCGGCATTCCGCCACCGTAACCCAACCGTCCTTTAGTTAACTCTATCGAATCTCTATTTAATATATATATATAGTCTAAGAGTAGAGTTTTTACTACTCTCTTTTAATTTTCTCCTCTTCGTACAATATTATATCTTCTCCAAATTCTTCTTAATCGGCATTATAATAGTATATTATACCTTTTCTATTAAATTAATAGTCTAACGACCTCCTTATCGTTTTACCTTAATTTACTTTAAAATTAGTACCGACTTCTCCCAATCCCCTAATCCTAGCCCTATTACGCCATACATACAACCCAATTACACTTCACCAAAACTCCCCCTCAAAAAACGCTCTAAACTAATAATTTCACTTTTACTACTATATTCTATTATTATTATACTATATACCCTAACTACTTATAATACCTTATTTCCTTTTCCTTACGTAATATACTATTAACATTCTATTACTAAAATCCTTATATTAAATTATAAATAATTTTATAAATTTATTAAACGTACTTATCCCCGGCTCTAATACTATACTTACCTACAAAACTACCATTCGAACTCTCTTCCGCCCAAATACCCTCCCTTTTATTTATAAAGTAATTAAAAGCTTATAAGAAAACCTCTTTAATTTCGTTTCTACTTTAAAAGCAGACTTTAATATCCTTACTTAACTCTAATTTTACTTTATTATTATTAAAAACTATTTTAGCCGGGCTTATAATAAATTTCGTACTATCTAACGGGAGGCCTTAAACGCTTAGTAAATAATTAATTAAATTTAATAAATTACTATTTAAAATTTTATTATAATTTCCTAAATGTAATAGGACTTTATTAGGGTTATAGCCGAGGCCGCTACTATAATTATATAAATTTAATAAATATAGTAATAATTCGCTATAATTAAAAACTAAACTTAATAATAGAATACTAATATAATAGTAATACTAACTATAATTACCCTAATTATTAGTATTACCCGCCTATATAGTATTAAGCCCCTTATATTTAATAGTATTGAAATATCCCTATTTAAATATTAGGGTTAGGGTTAGGGTTAGGGTTAGGGTTAGGGTTAGGGTTAGGGTTAGGGTTAGGGTTAGGGTTAGGGTTAGGGTTAGGGTTAGGGTTAGGGTTAGGGTTAGGGTTAGGGTTAGGGTTAGGGTTAGGGTTAGGGTTAGGGTTAGGGTTAGGGTTAGGGTTAGGGTTAGGGTTAGGGTTAGGGTTAGGGTTAGGGTTAGGGTTAGGGTTAGGGTTAGGGATCTCTCTCTT